CTTTTTGAATAAAACTACACTATAAAGATGTAATTATTACAATATATATATTTTAATTAATATTCATTAAAATAGAACTATATATATATATAGAATGATATACGAAAATGATAAGAAAAGAAATAAAGCGAGTTAATTAATCATTCGTCATGGTGTAGATCGATTTACGATTACTTACACGAAAAAAGTCCCACGTTGATCCGGAAGACAAGGTACCATATTGTACTTCCGTTTGCGAGGCAAGGTCTTCCGGTGAATTTATAGGAGTTACCATCCTCTCGACTGTTAAAAATGCGGCAAGGTTTGCAGTATAAGATGATATCAGGATAAGTGTGAAGAACCACCATACGCTTCCAACTATTCTTCCAGATATCGACCTATGTTTTTCATTCAATCAAATAATTTAACAAATAATCACATATATACAAATGAAAATAATAATAATAATAATAATAGAAAATTTTATCTTATAATACTTTCTATTTTATCTTAGAGTCGTCTGTCTTTCAAAATCAAATCAAATCAAATCAAATCAAACGAAATCAAATCAAATATCCAAATTCATGGGACTCGATAAATCCCTTGGACAAAAGATAGATTCCTATTTCATCTCGACTACGTAGGGATTTTCATTCGAATCTAGTTTCGTAACCGAAAGTGGAAGAAAAGGACACTAAATCGGATTATGCGAAAAAATATTCAGTCATATTTAATAACGGATGATGATTCCTTCTTATAAGAAGATGGGTTGATCGTTGAGATAAAAAAGAAAAAAAAGTAAAAAAGAAAAAAAGAAAAATAATAGAGTGAGATAGCGTGATGGTGAGAGGTGGGGTTTTGGTGTTTAAGGGAGCAAGAAAGAAAAATTCGAAAAAACGAGTGTACGTGTGAGACAAAGAAAGAAAGAAAGAAAGAAAGAGAAAGAGAATAGGGTGGTACGACGGATGCATAAGTTTCCGGGAAAAATTTACAATTCATATCGTAACCAGTAAGGGGGGAATATTTAAACCATTAATCAAGGAGCCTGCCGCGTTAGATTCGTGGTGGTGGTCGCTATGGTGGCCACCAACTCGACTACGACGGAATGTAAATTAATTGAGACCTAGTTTCGAAATGAGCACGCGTTCTGCTCACTCTCTCTCCCTTTCTTTTTCTCTCTCTTTCTCTATCTTTTTCTTTTTAGCATGGATAACGAGAGATAGGAGTGCCAGAGTTATGCGCACGCACTTTTTAAGCTCGCGTAAATGAACATTTTGGGAAAGGAATAAAGAACATATTAGAACTTTCGACCTATATAGATAAGAATTCTTAATAATAATAATAATAATTAATTAATAATTCGAATAAATATTCTTCTTCCTTTCCTTTTCCATTTCTTTCTGGAACATATCTTTTTTCTTTTTCTTTTTTTCTAACGTTAACGAAAGTTCCTTTACCACCCCTTTCCCTTTCTTCTTTCCATTCTCTTATTTTTTGTTTTTCTTTTTTGTTTTTGCATCTTCGATCGATAACAACGAATTATCACGAACATATATTATCGTGATTTCAATTTCTGACCTTTCTTATTACCGTTTCGTTATTTAATCGAAAATCTCCAGACATCAAGGCGCTTTAAACGCACCTCTCTCTCTCTCTCTCTTCAGAATTAAAAGAAGAAAAGAAAACAAAACAAAATAAAAAAAAATGAAAAAGTAATGAAAACAAGACAGGGAATTTCAACATGATTAAGGGAATAAGAGAAGGAAAAAAGAAAAAACAAGCAATTTTTAAAGGAAGAAAGAAAGAAAAAATGAGAATGAGAATGAGAAAGAGAGAGAGAGAGAGAGAAATGTACGACCTCGGTAAGGAGCGCGTGTCGCGAGAAAAATTGTTCATTCGAGCACGAACACAACACGCTCATTTAAATGAGCTACTCGGGGTGGGAGGGCGAGGGGGGAAGGGTGTAGGGAAGGAGGGACTACTAGAATAACGAACGGATTGGCTACCTTGTTTTGTTGGCTTTCTAGTAGAAAACGATTACTATAAAGTTTTTACGTTGAATTATATTATTACGCAAGGCCAACGATAACAAAAAATAATGTAATAGAAAGGAAAAGGAATAAAAAAAAAAAAGTAAGAAGAAGAATAAAGCCGTCCTTTCTGATCGAATAATAGTAATCATGTTAATTTAACATTTTAACGTTATATAATTTATATTTCATTTCGTTTGTTTTTTTTCTATATTATTATTATTCAATTATTATTCTTTTATTTATTCTTTTTTACGTGATCATCGTTTGATTATTATTTTTGTATTCTTTTTTCAATCAGATGCAATGAGGGTATTTTTGGCTAATTATTTAGAAAATACGTATTTGTGTGTATCTGTGTTTGCTCTGAAGAAGAACAAGAGACAGAGAGAGAGAGAGAGACAGAGAGAGAGAATGAAAAGTTATGGAACATTTATATAGAAAATTTAAAGAGCGAGTTTTGAATTTTACACAATTCATCCTATCAATCGAGAATACGCTCGAGTTGACTCGGTCAAAGGATGCTATTCTCTCTTTCCTCGCTTTTATGTATAAACTTATATATTCATATATATATATATATATCTAAAAAATATATGTATATTCTCGCTCGTTTCAAGAAGAAAATGAAAATGTTAGACGAAAGACATAAAGTCTATAATTAAGTCAGCATGAAGATGTTAAAGACTTATTTTAAATGCGAATAAAATATCGAGGGTGGAAAATATTCCTATAGTGAAAATATATATATAAAAGAAGATTATTAATATTAATCTTTTTGTTCTCGTAACAACAATAAGATATTTGTGAATTTGTTTGATGTATTATGTTTAAAAATTAAATCTTATTAATTAAGTGAACGTCGTTTATTAATAAATAATAAATTTAACGAATATAGAAAATATATAATTTATTATTTCCTTTTGTTATTTCAATCGAGAGAATTAATGGGGGGAAAAAAAAAATATTTTTCATAAATTTCGATAGAAATATTTCATGAAAAAAAATAATTACCTGGGTGATATGTCGCAACCTTGTTGCATGAACGCAGCTAAAGCGAACCATAAACTGTTGATGATACTAAAATCATTGGCCATACTGGATGCTTGTATGTGTGGTGAACCTTGAGGCGTATGAGGGTGTTGTAAACTTGGATCATTTCTTCCTGATATCGATGGATCACCACTTCCGCTTATCGTCAATACTCTCCACTCGTATGGTGAAAATCTGTACAATTTTTATATATTCAATTAATCAAACAGAATATAATAACAACTAATACGTACTATTGTATATACACGAATTCGACTTATTTCATTTCAATAATTAAACAAAATCAAAAAAAGTAATAAAATTCTTTCCATTTATACAAAGTTTATTCGAAATTGATCGAATTTTTCGAATTGTATTCAATCCAAAAATGAATTAAAGTTAAAAAGGGAACTCTTGTACGATTGATTTTATTTGTAAATCAAAATGTATTTCAATTAATTAAATACAAAAAAAGAGAAAGAGGTGGAAAAAAAGTGCGTTTAATATCGAGCATCCCCTTTAAAGTCGAATTAACAGTGAAATTAGCAGTAATATGGGTTCTAAGTTATCAAGATTTTCGACTTCATTTATCGTCGTGAACCTACTTTCATTAGGTAAAGAATCACGCGAAGAGATAAGAAACGCAAATACCTCGCGTTCGGGTCTGAAATAAAAGCACATGAGAGGGTAGGGTGGGTAGATGAGGGGTTGGTAAGAGAAAGGGATACAGTGGGGGAATTTATCGTCGGCACGGTGTGGCATAATATGACCACTGAATCGCGATAAATGCACGCGTAATTGCACTAGCTGTGCACGTAACTGCGGCACTTTACCGTCGTGCTTCCACCTAACCACCCACCACTCTCTTCCTGGCAAGAAAATAAAAATACTGTCGTTTAATTGCGTTTCACTATGAAAGGAGAAAGAATAAAGAGAAATATATGCACCAGGAATATAATTGAAAATATAAAAAAACAAAGACAATCCTAAGAGAAAGGGAGAAACAAGAACAAGAACAATAATAAAACAAAAAATAGCAATGATAAAATAGGTAAAGGATAATATAAGTCAAATTAAATATACAACAATTGTATTTACGAAACAATAGAAATGAATAGTATTAAACTTGCAATATTACTTTTTCTAACACACAGTTATCGGTCATTAAGCAAAAACAAAATATTAGAAAATTAAGTTTAGTCGAGTTTATCAGATAATTTCTGATATATCTTAAATTCAATCAGAAAAGAAATGATAAAATAAATGAGATCAAATAATCAGATCATTTTTCTTATATATATATGTAAAAGTAAAAATAGTTGGATACGTCAACAATGTTATTACGATACGTAAAACGATATGCAAACTGATATATAAATATAGAATAAAAATCTTACAACACATATCTATCGTATCTATTTTAGGGTTATAAGTGTATGGCCTTGATACGGTCTAACTCCTTAACAAGTCCGACTACGTACGGACTTTATCTACTCGGGGGAGTAAAAGTTATTCAAAGAGGAGAAGAATTTTGTATTGGATAGATTACATAAACGAGAAGTGTACGTGTAACGAGAGAATAGAAAAGACAGAAGGGAAAGGTGAGGGAAGGAAAGGGGAGGGCATAGGAGGGGATGTATGGGGGATGGATGGGGTGTGGTTGGGAAAGGTTTTCACCCAGTATTATCGTCTCTCACCTCGAGACTATGAATAGGACGATGGACACTCCGATGTATGAGAAGATGACGCACACCCAGATCTCCTTGCTCAGCGGATTGAGAAAACTGAAGACCCCAGGCTTCTGCTTGATGGGCTTCTTTATCATGATGCTGATACCGAGGGACATGAAGGGTTTACTGAAATCAATCACGCGCTCCCGTTCCGAAGTGATCGTCATTGGTGCAATGGCAATGTCCGCTTCCTGAAATATACACACATCTTAATTATTTAATATTATTATTAATAATTATACTGTGTGTGTGTTGATAAAATACTTATAACGTAATATTTTTTTAAACGATATTATTTGATTTTTCTTAAATATGTTAAAATGATCTGATAGAGAGTAAAGAATAAAATCCTGATAGTTTGTTTTAAAACAAACATACAAAAATACCAACGTTCGATCAGAGAGAAAGTTAATGCTTTCGTTTCAGGGGTATTTCACTTTCAGTAACATCCAATAGATGTAGCTCGATACTCTCTCTCTCTCTCTCTCTTTCTCTCTCTTTCTTTCTATTTGAATTCTCTTCTACCCCGACGAGAAACGAGGGTGAGTTAGCTTGCAAGCTCGAGTCATCTATTGGATGTCGTTAGAACGTTCAACCGTGAGATAAAACAGCCCCTTTAGCCGTTCCCTGAAAGTTGCCAAGGATCAATAGCAAACTCTTTCGGGTAGTCGAATTAGATCGGGCCACTCGACAAGTTCTTTCAGGAAAGTTTATCAGGAAACTAGCTCTTTCATTGAATTCGTACGCGTTACCGGAGAGATTTTGGCACTCGCCTTTCTAATGAGTTCACCGACCATTCCGTCCCAACCACCGGGAACCTCAGGATTTTCTGTCCCATATTTTCCGTCCTTTACTATTCGCAACTCGTCTGGAAAATTTTATAATATAATTATTTTATTTGCAAAAAAAAAGGATCGTTATATTTTATATATATATTTTTGTTTGTTTGTTTGTTTTTGTTAATACGTACACGTTATCCCAAGTTTTTTAGCAATCAATTCGGCGAGATCTTTGCAATAACCTTCATAACTGTCATTGCCAATAAGTGTTTCACCGTCCTCGGATTTTTTCTTCATTATATAAGGTTCTTCCTGTTTAATTAAAAACAAAAATAAATAATACTTATCGTATTGATATAACATTACGGATATAATTAGGATTGATTTTCGAATTTACCACAATCGTTGTTACGATATAAGTTCTGTTCTTTTCTATTTCATGGGGACGTAATCTGACGTATTTCGCTGCTATCGTTTGAAATCCAGTCTCATCGGTCCACTCAGCTACCTAAAAAGAAAAAAAACATAACCCCATAAATGTTTAAACATTTAGTAAATTATAATGTTATAATATAATCACGTTTTATTCTTACCTTAACCATCGCACTGTTTACTGTCATTTCTACAACGTGTAGTGTATAATTTTGTCTTCTACCATCATCGTTGAAACGTATCTTTCCAGTTAATCCTTCGATTTCGACCTGGAAATAATAATAATATCGATTGAACCAAACGATCACGCAAATCTTTCAATTCCACTGATATACTTACGTTTAATCTTAAAGATCGTTAAAGAATCAGACATTTGTAGTAAGAGGAAATGCGAGAAAATGTGAATTTTTTTTCGGATTTTTTTCTCTCAAGTAACTTGGATTTCTTTGCTGATATCGACAAGTTTTATGTTAGACGGTATCACGAAGAATGCTAAGGAAGCGACTTTGGACGTAAGGGTATCCATATACTGACTATTTCACTGGGAACTAAACCCCCATAGGAATTCCGTTAGCAGTTCGAAAGTGTCGGCAATTACTGTCACTGTCAGGAATATGTCGGTAGGATAGAGGTCCATGGTACTTTCGGTAGTCCGATATTTGCGACAGATCGAAAACCCACCTACTTAGAAATTCGACAATCCCGTTTCTACCTTTCCCGAACATGTTATTTCTACATTTGAAAAAGTAGAAAATTGGAAACCTTTCTTTCTATTCGTCTACTTCAATATATTATTTTACTGAAAAAAAAAAATATATATTATAATACTGTTCTCATTTTAAACTTTCTAATTCGACACGCCTTTGCACTTTCCTTGAAAATTTGGTTCGTCGATTTCGAAAGATGAATAAAAAAAAACAAAGCAAAACCAAATGTCTGACCTTACTAAGTCCACTTTATAATTGGTACCATAATTTTATCCCCTAAAAAAGTGTAAGATACACGGTCAAACGTTTGAAACTTTTTCTCCGAAGCTATTTATCTCTATATATGTGTGTGTGTGTGTGTGTGTTAGAAATATGACGAGTTCTCTACTACTTTTGGTCTTAATTTAAAAGTTCGTCCACGCGAAATAAAAAAGAAAAGAAAATACTCCGATCCACCTAAATACCATTTTTTTTAATTAGAATCATAATTTGGTTTAACAACTATATATATATAAATATATATGTAAGGGTACAGTCAAATGTTTGAAACTTTTCTTTCATCCCCACTCTCCCACCACCCTTCGAAAAAAATATTTACGCGAGTTGAAAAATACGACGAAACGAATTTTTCTAACTAAAGGTCTTATAAATTATTAAATAAGTAAATTTGCAAAAAGGAAAAAACAAAGAAAAATAAAAGAAACATTAGATTCCTTCTATCATTCCTAATTATAATTGTTCTCTTTTTTTTTCTTTCTTTTACTGTACAATTGAAAAAAAAAATATATATATATATAATTAATATATATTAATAAATAATTAAAAATGATTTTGCGCATACCTTACGAAGAAATCTCGATATTTTATCGCCATTTTCCCACGGCGTGACCAAATCACGGCTATTATTGCAATCAAGAGATCTCGTGCCGTTGGTTGGCTGACTGCTGTTTCCTGTTCGTCTGACGTTGTTCCGATCAGGTTTCTTTCTTAGAAACTTGTTGAACGCTTCAACGAGAACGAAGACCGCGTCGTACATCAAGGCTGCTTGTGCCTGACAACGAACAAAATAATAAGTATAACCGACAATTAAATTAATTGATAACGAAAGGAGAAATCCACCCACACCCGACCTAAAAAAAAAAAGATGGTAGGAAAAAAAAGTTCAATTAAAAAAATAGAGAAAAGTAATAATTCATTTCATCGTCATTATTATATTCAGTTTGAAATTATTTCAGATAATAATTTACGTATACGAGTATCGTCCAATGTTCAAATGAAATTTTTTAATTTAACAATTCATTCGTTACTAATGACCCATATTGTAATTCGATCATATTTTTAACATATTTTAAAAGAAATTTTCGAAAAAATGTATAAAAGAAAATCTATCGAAATATGTTTATTTGAATAAATTAAAATACATCGGTATATATATATATATATATATATATTATTAAACTATTAATAATTATTTTTAATACATCAAACATAATTTTTTTCAGTTATTTTTATAATAATTAATTCATATACATATATTGTAATAATTACATCTTAATATTATAGTTTTATTTAACAAATTGCATAATAGTTAAAAGAATGCTAAAATGAGCTGAATGTTGCGCATGTTTACGAAGGTAATAATTCACTTAATACATCAAATTTAAAATTATAACCTTCTCATTTTAATCTTCTTTTAATTTTTATGCAATTTCTTAAATAAATACTATACTATAAAGATGTGTAATTATTACGATATATGTATATATGATTATAAAATATATTTATGTAAGATACACACATTGAAATAATTCTTCACGTTTTGTGATTCGTATATATTAAAGTCTATCACAGATAGAAAATAAAATAAAGTATTCTGAGCCAAAATTAGGAAAGAGCACGATTACTATTCTCCTCGACCATAAAGATCGAGTACGATAATCGTTGCATTACATCGCGAATGTTCTTTCCTTCTTTCTTTCTTTCTTTTTCTTTTTCTTTCTTTTTTTTTTCCTCAAGTTACAGCTTTCACCCCTTTTCTGTGTTACGAACGTGTTGGGAAACATAACCCGAGTATTCGTTTCCTTTCTTATAAGATCTTTCCATTCATTGTATGTGTGTACTACTATATCGTATAAAACTAAGGCAAAGCACGATCATTCCTCTTGCTTTCGCTGAGAAAAGCATTCACGACAATGCGAGTATTTTTCTTCGAAGATGTTACCCAAAAGGAATGGTTGCCAAATCGATATTACCCTCGATCGCGTCGGATATTCTTGGTGTTATGGTATAGTCATGGGTAGAACGATCGTCAGGTTATATTACTTCACTACTACTCGTCTTCACAAAACTTTTAGAATAAGAAATACACGATAATAATATTTTATTACTTTAAACGATATATTTGTTCAAATCCATACCAAACTTTTTGTTTCTTTTTTTTTTTCTTTTTACATTTTCTTACATTTCATACGATTATTCGATTGAGTTTTTAAATCATTTTTCGTAGTTTAAAAAATTAAAAAATAAAATGAAACGCTTTAACGTTATTATTTTTATTTTATTTTATACGTGTATTCATCGAAAGGGTTGAAACAAACAAAGAACGAACGTTGGTTCTCATTTTATTGACGGGGCGAAGGGAAAAAAAATACTTCTGTGCCAATGCATAGATAACATTTTTTTACTATACATTTTGTGTTGCATTCAACAAAGTTTTTTTTTTTTGCATTCTCGAGAAATCGTTACTGTAAATACCTTTTTCCTTTTTTTGCATTTCATACGTGCATTCATGATTGGGAAAACAAAAGAAGAAAAAATATCCACGTGAATCTCATTTTACTTCGGGGTCAGAAGGGGGAGAGGAAGAGAAACAAATACTCGTATACCAATACAGATACATAATATTTTTCCGCCTATTATACTATACTCAATGATACATTATTACTTTGTCGCATTCAACAGATTTCTTTTTGTTCTCATTCACGTGAAATTGCTAATGGTTAGTATATTTTATATGGGGGAGGGGTATTCGACCAAAACGTTTCAAAAAAAAAAGAATATCAATACACATGTGGATCTTATTTTAATTAATGAATTTCGAGATATAAGTTTTTGTATGTATATAATATTTTCTCATTTAGAATAAATCATTCATTAACTTTGTTTTATTTAACCAAGTTTTTCTATATTTTAATTAGGAACAAATCGTTAATGTTGAAACCATTTTTGTTTTGTTGTCCCCACTTTCATATTTACACAAATATAAAAAATTTTATCAAAAGGATTGAAATAAATTTTGCTTTACGTTTTTTTCTTTTTTTTTTTTTTTTTTTATTTTTTTTTTTCCAAAGCTTTAGTCTTATGATTACTCTCTGCCGGGTGGTGGTTAAACAAATTTTTCTACAAACTCGCGAGAAATTATATATAATCATTTTTCAGNTGTTTTATTTAACCAAGTTTTTCTATATTTTAATTAGGAACAAATCGTTAATGTTGAAACCATTTTTGTTTTGTTGTCCCCACTTTCATATTTACTGATAAAATAAAAATTTTAGAAAAAAAAACGAAAAAAATTTTGCTTTATGTTTTTTTTTTTTTTTTTTTTTTTTAATTTCTTTTCTCCAAAGCTTTAGTCTTATGATTACTCTCTGCCGGGTGGTGGTTAAACAAATTTTTCTACAAACTCGCGAGAAATTATATATAATCATTTTTCAGAACGGTAAGATATAATAGCGTGCTCGTTATTTTATTTAAGAAAAATAATGAAAAATAAAAATAACAAAGTTGCTTACCTCACTACATACGTGTGATACACACACATATATATATATATATATATTTCATTTTCTATTTGGCCTCGGAACGAGATATCTAACGTGTTTCCTACAAAAATAAGGATCTCTTTTTATTTCTCTATTTTTTGTTTCGTTTCTTTTTTTTTTTATTTCGTAATTTTCACGTTCCACGAAACCTAGTGCGTCAGCAGCCAATTTTCTTTTCGCTTACCTGAGCTTATCATAGTAGTACTTCCCATTTAAAATATAATATAATATTTTGAATTAGAAAGAGAGAGAGAACCAAAGATATATTATATTAATGTTATATAAGAAAAAAATATTTAAAAATTATTTATTAATTAAAAAATTTGCTACTAGATATATATATAATTATATGTTACTTTATAACTACTCTACATATTTCACGAATAAATAATTACAACAAACATGTAACATTATCTTTTTTTTCGTTACATTCTTTTTTTTACTTTCTCTTTCTCTACTTTGATTATACGTATTTTGTGTGTTGGAAAAATAAGTATACGTCAGGTAGGTTAAAAAAAAGTTTTCGAACGATACGAGTCGTAAACGAAAATATGCCATCGTTGAATTTCGTACGATAAAAATAATTTGAATATTCTTGGTATATATATATATATATATATATATATACGTGAACACAACACCCATCATAAGATATCTAGGTATGCGTATTTATACGTTTATTTATATACGTAAAAATCGTATTCATTTATGTATCCAACGTCGACATAGGATAAGAGAAATAAAGATAGAGATAGAAAATAAAAAAGTAGGAAAATAAAAGAAATGGTAAGAGAAAGATAGTTTGTTTGATTTTCGTTCTTTCGTTCTTCCACTACTACTACTACTACTACTAAAAGTCAAACTTTTGCCATATTATCTTGGGCATTGGACTGTGCAAAGTAGTAGAAGACAAGGTAAGACGAGACTTTGGTCGCTTGAGACCAAATTGGACCACTCGAAGGTAGTCGAGGGTCGTTGGCTAGCGCGAACACGAGTTTCCTCTCGAGAGATATACACAAAGGGGAAAAAGCTAGAGGGAAACAAACGTGGAAACAAAAAAAAAAAAGAAAAAGAAAAAGAAGAAAAGGTAAGGAAAAGCCGAGAAATGAAGTAGAAGAAGTAGAAGAAGAAGAAGAAGAAGAAGAAGATAAGAATAAAAAGGAAAAATGTGAAATAATGAAAGGAAAAACTACAAAGTAGAGAAAAATGATAAGAAAAACGTGTACGAGTAAATGTATCCTATTGAAATAGATTTATCACTATCATCGATATATATTAACGTCATAGATTTTTTCATATTTTCTAAAAAAGTTAAGATTATATATTTGTCTTATTTATATAATAATAACCCTTTGCACTCGGTAGGTGAGTCTCACTCACCACGCGATTTTATGCCGCAACTCGAGAAGTGATTGTCGCTCACCACTTCGTACGCAGCGGTAACTTGATGCGCGTCGATAGTTGTTAAAGTTTAATTTCTTCGACAAAGATTCCTCTCTTTGTATAATCTTATAAAGTGTAAAATGATATTTCTTCAAATAGAGATAAAACTTTCTTATCAGAAATTAGTACGCAGTTACGAACCGGACTGCATTTTTGGTCTTAGTTCGAACCTGACAGCCGTGGCAAAGAATCTAGAAAAGTTAAAGTTTTTGATCCATAGTACCATGAATCGTGGTAACGACATAAGCTCTAGTGAAGATGAGTTTGATTTAGAGTTACTAAACGAGGAAATTACAGCTATACACAGAGAGCTTGACGAAACAGCGAACGCGAGCAGTGATGAAGAGAATGAAGAAGTAAGAGGTGTAAGAAGGCGAAAAATAAGAATAATAGACAGTGAAGGTGGCAGTGACAATGACAGTGTTGCTGAAGATGTCCCACAATCCGACAGTTCCGAATAGATTAGCTGTCCAGAATCCGAAGAAATACCCCAGAGAATCAAGCACGTGCTCGAGCTTCAACCT